ATGTCCATGTTTCTGAAAATTTTTGTTTTCTTGTTTTCATATTGTTTTACTTACTACAGTTCAATGGATATTCACATAATGATTTTCTTTATGATACAAAACCAGTTGTGAATATGAATTTTTGGTTTTTTTATGTATACTGAAATATTAATAAACTTCTCATGTAAAATGGGAAAAAATATTTTTGCCGTTTTATATTAATATCAATGTTAACCAAGAATTTATGTAAATCGTATATTCTACGTTTCAACGTAATACTTTATCTACCTCCGCATCATGCGTTACTAAATACTTACCGCTAAATTGTGAATACATTTTCCTATTGTTTTACATAGTATTCAGATAACTACTCTTCTGAATAGAGATAAGCAAAAAGAAGCTTGAAGTTTTGTGTATTCTAATTTGTTTTTGACCTTTTCACGTTGATTACGTCTACTGATCCTTTCCAGAGTAGATGTAATGAAAAATACTAGATAAGGAAAATAGTTGCTGCATATATCAAGAAATTTTCTAGATAATTTGTGTCTATACTAGTTCTTCATGTGGGTGGAAAACCAAAGAAAAACTCACCCGGACAGATGGATGACACATATCATTGATCTAAAATATGCGCCAATCAAATTCCTGTCACCCACCTAAATGGGTTACAAAGTGTGCCCTCTGGCGGGTGACAAGCACTGTATTGGTGATTGACAGTCACCCATCAGTGTGAGACATTTTATGACTCACGTAGGTGGGTGACTTTCATCTATATCAGTAGGTGACTGAATTTACAGTGTAGTGTTCATGCCTACAATAATATCAGATATCTGAATTATACCAAGCTTTATATATACAAAAAATCAAATTCAAAAATAAACAATGACGGTTAAAATACAGTTCGAAACGGACAACAAGAAGTGCATTAAGAGCTTATTATTTTCTTGCTCACATTTATTCACCACAGAGACACAAGTCTATAATGGACGACAAATTTCTACTCTTTCATCCTCAGCGACGCTCATATCAGTCTTAGCGTATCCTAACCCTGAATGATGACGGAGAAAAGAAGGAAGAAAAAAAGGTCGAGATAAGCTAAAATGAAAAAATGACGCCGACATCGTCAATGTCCGTGCGTAAAAAGTGTCGGTATCGTTTTTATTTTAGCTTATCGTAACTGGAAAAAGATTTCTTATGGTATTGCATTCTCATCAGTCAATTTTGTCATTTAACTTGAAAGGCAATTCTAGTATTATTCTTTAAATTGGAAAATACTATTGGTTAGACGAAAAAGTTAACCGCAAAACCCTTCTTAGAGTTTTTGCTTAGTATAACTTTTACATCTAACCCAATTTCAGGCGCGGCTGGATTGTCCCGAACGGATAAGGGACAATGAATGTTCTCTGTCTGATTGGTTGAAAATTTCCATTCCAGTCAGCCTTTAACTCTCTACGAAAAGGCGTTTACAATCAACAGTACATGAACTTTATATATATAAACAACATCGGTTAGTTAGAACTTTGACACGATTTCGATAAGGCACTCGTTGTAAGATTTTATTTTTATTAGTTCGATTGTTGATTCCTTCAAAACACAGAAATCAAATTTGGAGATATTCACCGTTTCTGTTTATTTGCATGAAGGTTTTAAGTTGCTTTTTGATTGGTATATGTATCTGAAAAATATTTACGGTTTCAATGGAGAAAATCGTCTGTCTTTCTCTTCTATTCTCTAATTGTCTGTGTAAATCTATGTGAAATAACTCTTTCCCATACTTATTATTGCGTCAACCACCTTCTTAGTCTAAACATGAAGTCATTTATCATTTTGTGCTGGAGAGAATTTATTTATTTTTTGTATTGCATTAGACCATTTCTAACATGCGTTTAAAAACGATTATGCAATTCTGCAAAGAACATAAAAAGCTTTATATTAGAAACGCTTAATTTATTTTATTTTAGATAAACATTTTCGATGTAGTTGCTATCTTAAATAGTTAGAATTGCGAATGTCGCCTGCTCCCCTGAGCGAAATAACCGTTGCTGGTCATGATAATTTGACCAATTCAGCAAGTATAATTTCAAATCAAGTTGTGGAAAATAACAATACAGTTGTGTCGCTGAGTGGTGAAAATGCCTTAACAGTGGGATTCGGGTAAATATTTTCTGGATGAAATCGTTTCTCGCTTTCCAGAACCTTTCACTGAATATTGTTTGGTTTTTCGCAGACATTTATTACTAGAATCAATGGAAAGTGTTGATTTATCTAGCACAGATGAACCGGATATGGAGCCCAAAAACCAAAAAGTATCTGAGTCTATTTCTCTTCCGCTGACAACATATTCAGCGCCAGCAACGCCTACTGGTGAAAGGGTTCAAGTGCAGTTTCGTAGTTCCAAACGTCAAGACAGTAATGTGAATATCAATAATCTGAAGAGTAATGACTCAAAACAATTAGAAGTGAAATATTCATCAACTAAAGGCCTTCTAGACAGTTTTTTGGGTTGTTTAAAACCGATCTGGAACGTTTGCGGTAAAATTTATCAAGAAAATTTAAAACCGTCATCGTATACATCAAAAGATGAGTGGGAATTTCCATTTGATTCTATCGTGAACCTTGTATTAATCGAAAATGGAACGGAAGGTCCGATTTATCACGGCAAATTAAAGGATATGGATATTGCGGTCAAACGAGTCAGAACATTAGAGGAAACAAAAATTCATCATTTGAAAAAATTAAATCATGTGAATGTTATCAAATTCAAAGGTACGTGTGAGAAATTCTTTTTTGAGCTTTCTTTGCTTATTATTCTCTAATTTCAAATCTCATTCTAGGTATTTGTGTAGCCCCTCCTATGTATTATATTCTAATGGAATACTGTCACTTTGGATCATTGTATGATGTATTGAAACAACGACGAGAAAAGTCTTATACAATGCCTACACAAGTTCTCGACTGGTCAAAACAAATCTCATTGGGAATGGATTATTTACATACAAATAAAATTATACATCGAGATTTAAAATCACCGAATATTCTCATTGGCGATAATGAAACATTAAAAATATCTGATTTTGGTACAAGTAAACAAATGTTGAATCGTCGTAGCGAAGTTATGTCTTTCAATGGGACATATGGTTGGATGGCTCCAGAAGTGATAAGACACGAACCATGTTCGGAAAAAGTGGATGTTTGGTAAGAATTAACTACCATCATTCCTTTTTTAAGTTTGTGTGTATTTGAGATTCACCCCTGAAGGAAAATAAAGACAATTTCAAAAATACACGATATATCTGCAGAGAGACCGAAATGATGAGAAAAGTCTTATTTTCATTTATTATACGTGAAGTAGAAAATTAGCGTATGATTTCGCAATAGACTAGCACTAATGTGAATTGCCAATTGGAAACTCGATTTGATTTATTTAATAAGTTCGCTAAACTTAACTCGTTCTTTGTACTGTTTAGGTCGTTCGGCGTTGTCGTATGGGAAATTTTAACTTGCGAAATACCATATCACAATATAGATCCGTCGGCAGTTGTATTTGGTAAATAATAGTTGTTGTTTGCTAAGAATAATGCTTTAACTACTTAACTGATATATTGACGTTTTACCTATCTTTGTTGGTTTCTAGGAGTAGGCAAGGGCGATTTGACTTTACCAATTCCTTCATCAGCACCTGAAAGTTTAAAATTATTAATGACAATGTGTTGGCAGAAACGTCCGCGTAATCGTCCATCATTTCAACAAATTTTAAAACATTTGGATGTTAGTACACCACAAATCATTCTGTTCGAACAAGAACAAGAATATCAAACATTAAAACACATTTGGTCGAATGAAATTACTGAAAAATTCAAACAATTACCAACAATTGATATATCTAGCTTAGAAAAATTATCACATGATCAGATACGACAAAAACGTGTCGAAGAATTACAGCATATCCAGGATATTCGCCATCATTATCATAAAAAATTACTGCAAACAAATACAATGTATCTTGAACTCTCCACATTGATGTTACAACTCAAACAACGTGAACGTGAAATAATTAAAAAAGAGCGTATATTACATATCAATAATGGAAAAGAAAAAAAATCCATTACTCCATGGTTGAAATATACAATCAATCATAGAAAAACATCGTTACAAGCGAAATTGTCGAATACAAACAACAAAAATAACATTTGCAAAGTTCATACAATTTCGAACACAATTTTACCACAACAGCCACGTGTACGCCAACGTCATCCGTCACAATCATCAACACCAAATGCTTTGAGTCCAAGTAAGAAAAAATTAGTTATATTTCTATTGACAATCTTATGTCTGTATTTATCAATGAATAGTTGATAACCTTTGCGTCTATAAGATAGGACTAGGATTCTAAAGCAACTAATTAACCTTCGTTGTAGTTTTTTGAAGCCTTCGTTAGAAGTGTTTTTCTTTGAGTATTACTCTCTTTTCCTCAGTTATACATGTGGTGTTGGAGCGTGATGTCGATGGATTAAGGTTTTGAGTGAGATGGGTGCTAAATTATGACGTTTTCATTTTTCTTCCAGCATCAAAAAAGAAATCCTTGATCAATCGATCATACTTTTTTACTCCAACGTTAGCTAAATACCTCAACAATATAATTCAATGGAAAACGACCGAATAAAGCTGATATATACATCAAACGAACGATTTGATGTATATATCAGCTTTAGGTCACATTTTTTCGAAGGTTATAGCCACTTTTAAAACTAAGACTGAAATGGAAATATTACCAGTTAGAAAATAGTGAGTATATATATATATATATATATACCGCTTACATACATTAAATTGTACCTCGATTGTTTTCTATAAAAGTATACTCGTGATATATTTAGCTAACGATGCGATCGACAAGTATGATTGACTGATCAAGGAGTTTCTAATAATGAAAAACTCAGCAAAGTAGCCCTGCACTTTCAGCATTTTTCGCTAACGTGAAAACATTCCCAGCTGTCCGACCCCGATTTCTTTCAAACATACATCAATCGATAGCCTATATCGAGATAGTAAAATGTCTAAAAGGATTTATTCCCATGGCTCTTGAAGACCCGGTTTTCCAGAAACTATAAAAAAGTAACTCAAACGTTTCTTAATAATGCATGATTGTAGCCTGGAAATTTCTGATTAAAATGAGACATCTCCCAGCTCTACACGACCTTTCTTTGCAAAGTTATAGAATTTACAAGAAAGGTCCTAAATATTCATTGTCAACTCAAAGCTACAGAAATAAGTCGAAATCAATTTAGGGCTTTTCTTGTAAATCGTATAACTTTGCAAAGAAAGGTCGTGTAGAGCTGGGAGAGGTCTCATTTTAATTAGAAATTTTCGGGCTACAATCATGCCTTATTAAGAAACGTTTTAGTTGCTTTTTAGAATTTCTGGAAAATCAGCTTTTCAGAAAACCGGATCATGAACAGCTGGGAATGTTCCCTCGTAAGCTAGTGGGCATCAAGTTTTTTGTCATCATCAACAATGATTGTTTTTGACTTAGAATGAATGACTCTTTATACCTGAAATAGTTTTCTCGCAAGAAAAACACTTATTCTGAATACTTTTAGTTTTGGGGCAAAAATTAAGACATTTTTACACTGATATGTCTCTGAAGGAGTCCAGATTATTACTTTTACCTATAGCTTGGTTGGGTTTATACACTGATTTTCAGCTGTGTTTTTTTATAATCCATAACAGCTAGAACAAAACTTCTTACAGCAACAGTTAGCTCATTTCTCAAAGTATATTTTCTTCTATTTCAATCCAGAAAATGCGTACCTTCGATTTTCGACTAAATATCTGATTCAGTGCACAGCTAAACCGTATCAGCTAAACTAATCATATCTGGGACCAGTACGTTTAACTTTGCTATGTATAATATATCTAATAGAGATCCTGGAAGACACTATTCTAGGCGCGAAACGCTGATGTTAACTTGAAATTACATTGTTTTAATACTGTGCATCTGTAGCATATACGAGTCTCAGCCATAGCATTTTGACCTTGTTACCACCATTAAATAAGCTTGCTATGCTATTCATTTTGTTACTTTTACAATCTATTTGTTTGTTTTAGCGACAAACGTACAATCAAATTGTACTAATTCGTCCAAAACATCACAAAATCCTGTACCATTATTAACATCAACCACAACATTACCACAACAACTATCACAATGCTCTTCATCACCAACAACGTCAAAATCACGTACGAGAAAAAAAGGTGGCCATTTGCGTAGTGGTAGCGGCACTATAAAATTTACATCAATAAACGAAGACAGTAAACAATCAACATCCACAAATATTACACCAAATTTAATTAATGAAACCTTTCAAGAAACAGCAAAACAAACTTCACCAAGTAAGGCTTCAGCAGAAATGATAATGATGACATCGATAAGTAATAAACGAAATGACTATTTTAATTCAACAGTTATCGTACCATCCGTCTCGGCTAATAATGATTTATTGCCACTCACTGGCAACAATCCATACATTAATAAACGACAGCCATTATCAAGAAAAGGACTTAGTCTCGATATAGAAAATCCGATGACAACCAATAATTTTGTACGATTGAACCAACGTTCATCCACAATAGCAACGCCGACAAGGCTTTTTACCTATGCTCTTCGAAAATCATCGAGCAGTGGAGCTGATGATTCTGAAGAAATACATCCGAGTATTTTGAAACAACGACGTCGTCAAACACGTTCAAGTATTAGTAACAGTGGCACAAATAGCACTAAAAATACATTGTCAACAACATCAACATTAAAAAGTAGCCCTAAAAACGCTGATCAAATAGACTATTCAATATCATCGCAAAAATCAAATCATGATAACGCAACGGCTTTAAGTTTAGTGAATAAAACAAATGATGACGATGAAAACTACAATATTGGAGATGATGAATCGGAAAATAGTGGAAATATACAAACTGAAATGAGAAGACAACGAAATGTGACATTTTTATTACCTCCATCAAAAACAACTGACCGAAGTCCGGTAACGACCAATAATCAAATATGGAAAGCAAAAGTATGTTCGATGAACACTTATGTTTTACAGTGCTAATTATTATTTTTTCCTTTTCGTTTAGACTATGCGTTACAGTTCATCCGAAGAAGGAGAAGTCGAAGAAGTAACAAGTGATCATTTTGTGATGGATGATGAGAAACATCGGCAAAAACATCAAGATTTAAATCGTATTTCTGGTACTTTTTCATCAGAAATGGATGATAGTGAATTATACCTTGAAAGTAATCGATCATCGATTAAAAGTGAAGGTGTTCTCTCTGATGAAGGTGGACATGTGTCTGATGAACGACCAGAATCATGTGAATCTTGTTTAGAACATACGATTGATGATGAATGGTCGAATAAAGATGTAAGTTGTTTAGTAATTATCAATGTTGCTCATCATTAATTGAAAAAGATATATCAGAAACAAACACAAAAACCTAACCAAAAAATCTAACACTGAAAACATCGAGTTGGTTCTACAACTGCAAGCGTTGTACAGAATAAAGACAGAGAACAGTGGATTTAGTTTTGCAGTAAACTGCAAAATTAAGTTTGTGTGTTCGAACCTGTATTCGTACGAAAATTGATTTTGTGTTTTTTTGACAGTTTAGTTTAGAATACTAAAACTATCGAAATTTTTCCGCTTATATTCTGTAGAATGAAGTTTAAACCAAAAGATAAGGCTATTTTCAAAAAGTTAGTTTTCACTTTTGGAGCAGTTTTCGAAAATATCAGGTTTACAACAAAAAATATAGTTTTCGGTTATGAACTGTACTGCTCGTTCGACATCTTTGCGCTCATATTGCTCATTTTTTTTTCTAGACATTACGCACTCATAAAGATGGATATACTGATGGAACACAATAAACAATTATTTTCTCTTGTTAGATTACCTTTCTGTCTATTTTCTCTTCAATCAAAATTCAAACGTCCACTCTTTTTCTATCTTATTTTTTATTGTCTTAATTAAGGAGTATAACTTAGTGCTTCTTACACATTCAATCATTGTTTTTAATTCAAATATGTATTTGCTCTCGTTTGTGCTAACTTTCCTTTCAAGTGATATTTTGCTTTATATTTGTATTTGTTGTATGCAATTTTATTTTCTCCTATAATGTTTTCACAATTTATCTTTTGATCTTATTTTAAAACAGAGTAATGTAAATGCCTGTTTTTTCATGTTTGTGGATAATAAACTCTTATTGAATTCCGTTCTATTTTAATACATCTGTCGTGTAAGAAAACAATGGACAGTAACATGTTAAGAAAATATAAAATCATTAGTTTGTCCTACTAATTTTTCTATCTACATCTAAACAGAAAATTTTCGCGTGTATGTAAATATTTAGAGATTAGTTATTATGAATTAAACTTAAATTTTTTTTTCTTATAAAATTATCAATAGCAAGCTATTGCATATATGTACATGTGATTAAATTGGGTTTTTTTTTGTAAACTGAACTACAGTGTATTTGATGTTATATTAAGTCTTGTATTTTAACCTTCTTGTTCGCTGTTCAGTTTTTATCTAAAAAGTTTGTGCTGCTTTTTGTATTTGCTTCCTGTATGTTTTGCCTTAAAACATTATTCTTTTTTTTTTGCAAAGCAAATACAGAAAAAATAACAATTTTATTTTGTTTTATTTGTTAGATGAATTACGCTATTGAACTGAGATAATGAAAGAATAACTTTAGTAGAAGAATACTATGCTGGGATTTTATTGATATTTAGATTTGTAGAATTTTGCAATTAGAATGAACTTTTCCCCCCCTCTTAACTCTCGTTTCATCAACTATGAAAAGATTTTTTTAATTTTGTTTTTATTTAGTTCAACTAGATGACAATTGATCTATTGTCATCTCTGTCTAAAAATACTCTAGATTAGATTATGAATCTATTCGAGTTTAATCGTCCACATATGGAAGTAAACTAAATTTTCTGTCTATAAGAAGATGAAAGCTTTCTTAGGAGGAAGAAAATGTATTACTAAAGTTGAATAACTTACGTTAATTCATCTTACATTGACAATGTACGCTTATTTTCTGTTTATATTTTCAGATCATAAGTGAATCCTTTATTAGATATAAAACAGAAAAATAAACGATATTAAATCTACGATGACATCATTACAATCCCAATCAGACAGTTCTGAATCATCAACCGTTGTAAATGGTAATGTTGTCACTACAACAACTCAATCAAAAACATTAAATAATGATAATACAATAACAACAACAACAACAATCGATAAAACTGATCATGGTAATTCGGATAATCATTGTACAACATTAATTCAAACAACATCATCAACAGCAGGAGATAATAGTTCTGGTGATATATTAAATAAAAAAATTATACGTCAAATTGAATATTATTTTGGTGATGTGAATATGGTACGTGATAAATTTCTGAAAATAGAATCAGAAAAAAATGATGGTTGGATACCATTATCAATTTTAACAACATTTAATCGTTTAAAATCGTTAACAACTGATCAAGATCGTATAATGAATGCATTAAAACAATCATTTTCCGGTTTATTACAATTAAATGAAAGTGAAAATAAAATACGTCGTGATCCAACAAAACCGATACCTGGTAGTCAACAAGAATTAGAATCATTGTTAAAAAATCGTACAGTTTACGTTAAAGGCTTTCCAAAATCATCGTCCATTACATTAGATAATTTACTTCAATTTTTTGAAAAATATGGTTCAACAGATAATATTCAAATGCATCGACATTTTAAAACAAAAGAATTCAATGGTGCCGCATTTGTCGTATTTCCAACTGACAAAGATGCCATTAAATTTGTTGAATTATCAAAACAAACACCATTAATTTTTAATGGTAGTGGTGATAATAATAATACTGGTTCACAATTAGAATGTGAATTACAAGAAGATTATTTGACCAGAAAAGCAAATGAAAATGGCAATGAATTTTCATCATATGAGAAACGTCAAAAAGATAAACAAGAGAAAAAAGATAAACGAAAAGAAGAATTAAATAAAATGACAAATGAACATGCGACTAAATTAAATCAAGAACATAATTTAACTGGTGCACTTATTCATATCACAGGTATAGTGAATTAAACATGGTTATTCTTAGTCTACTCTTTTTTTTTCTCGTAGTGCGTTCTCGATATTAAGATATAAATCTAACGGGTGCGCCATAAATAACTGCACTGTTAGCAAATCTTTCTCCTCTTCCTTAGACTTAGTCGAACTGATTCTACTACCAAAAGATTCCCCGTTCAATTCTCTACAAAATGGCATATAAACGACAAGCCAGATCTTTGAGACGTTGTTTCAGCTGAACAAAATGTGATGTACCTCGAAAACGAGAAAAATGTAATCGTTTTCTACTAAGTGTTTTTAATTCGAAATCTATGCTAAAAGAGGGATACAAGTCGTTTGCTTCTCTACACATTCAGGTGTTCTCTATCTGACAGAACAGAATTCATTTCCCCTTCTTGCGTCAGTCTGGTAAAAATGGCTAAATAATTACTTGCCGTAATAAATCAGCGAAATGTCAATGTGATGATCTCATTTTTTTCAAAACAAAATTATTTCATACTGTTTACATGTGAATTTAGGAGGAAAAAAATGTTCTTTCCCAAATGACACCTGAGCGAGCTTAATTGGTTTACTTTTGTCCGAAATATGATCAATCTGCGACTAGCCCTAAAACTTCACTCGAAAAAGCAATGAAAGAGCTTTTACGGAAACCATGATTGTAAGCGCAACATAAAGGGAAGAAATTCGTCTTAGTTGCCAATCAATAGAGAATTTCAAGGACTACAATTCTGCATATTCGATTCGACACGGCTAAACAATTTGATTTATTATCGGCGAAATACTTTTTTTTAGTTAAATTTTTCACGTTCTCGAGGTACATCACATTTTGTTCAGCTGAAACAACGTCTCAAAGATCTGGCTTGTCGTTTATATACCATTTTGTAGAGAATTGAACGGGGAATCTTTTGGTAGTAGAATTAGTTCGACTGAGTCTAAGGAAGAGGAGAAAGATTTAAATTACTAACCGCGCAGTTATTTACGGCGCACCCATTATAATGAGAAAAAAATTTAAAGAATGATTATTTCTTTCGTTGAAAAATGTAAAAGATTTATTCTATTTGATTTCTTTCATATTTGTTTTTTTTCTAGGTATGCCTGCAGCGGGTACTCGCGAAGATCTTAAAGCAAAATTCTCTCTATTTACGAAAACACCATGGGTAGACTATAACAAAGGAGAGACACAGGTATATACATTTTTTCTTGTTAAATATTCTTGTCAATTTGATTATTTCTAATTCATAGGCATGGTTACGATTGAATGAGGCAAATACGGCAAAAGATGTGTTAGAAAAAGTATTAGCGGCAAATAATGGAAAATTAGAAATTCATGGAACTGAAGTTACATGTCATGTTGTAGAAGGTAATGTGATTTTTTTTTTGAGCATTGTAAAAATACATCTGATTGTTTTTGTGTTAATAGGAGACGATGAAGTTAAATTTTGGAAAGATGCAAATGATAAACGTGCTGCTCAACGAACAAAAAAACGTGATAATAATTTTGGTGGTCGAGGACGTGGTGGTAAACGCAACAATAATAGACGTTTTAACGATAAACGAAAACGAAATGGTAAAAATTATTTCTCACATGTAAATATGGTTTTACAGTTCTGTTTTCTTTTTGTATAGGTCGTGATAATAGATCGGCAAGAGAGGATGATGATAATGATGATGAATCAGACAACGAAACTGAAGATCAACAAACAAAAAAATTGAGAGCTGATGACAATACTGTTAGCACAGAATAAGAATAAAATCCAACAAATTTGTTTATCAGTAAACAAATGAACAGTGTTAGTTCTCTAGCTGTTTATATCTATGTATGTGTGTCTATCTCTTTCTCTTTTTCGTTTTCTACGTATGATGTTAATTTTTGTTATTGTTTAAAAACAAATATATCATCAGTTTGATATTTTCTCTCATTGTTTTTTTGTTGTAATAAAAAATTTACAATCCAATTTAGGGAAAATGTATGAGATGTGTCTTTAAAAATGTTACATTTTTAACTTTTCTATGGATATTTTCTTTAGAAAATAAACTGTGACGTTGAAGAACGTACAATCATAGATGATAGAATTAGTTATCATAAATTTCAGTGAACGAGCGAAAACTAGGTAATACTGATACAGTCAATGTTTTTAGAAAGAAAGTAAAAAATTATTGAACATAATAGTGTTGTTAACATTTGAAGGCCGTTTGTTTCATTGTAAACCGATTGTTTGAGTTAATCTCATTTCACACGGTTTTTACTGGGATGAGATTCTGCTGAAAATCTTAAAAATCACCTTAATATTGAGCAATATTCTTGAAAATCCCAAAATTTTCAAGATGTATGTCAGTGACTGCTGATGACAGCGCTCAAATTTTGTAGACAGCTTTTTTTTATTTACTTTATGTCAAATAAAGAAATGGAAAAAATGTCTAGCATTATTTCTGCATGTTCCTGATGCGCTGGTTGTTCAATTATTTTTCTTTCAGAAAGAGTAAAGTCTGAACTTCCAAAGAACATAAAAAACAAAATTTTTGTAATTGAGTTTGAGTGAGAAAAAATATAAATATCAAACGTCACCTAAAATGTTCTTGCAAAGCACTTTTTTCTTTAATTTTTCATTACAACCTGGGGAGAAAAATCTTTTTGAAAACTAACTAGATTAGAATGTTGTCTGCGCAAAACTGTATTGATTTATCTACTGTAGAGAATTTCTCATTAACCTTTTAATAGTAAAAAAACCGTAGCACAAAAGTCAGATTTAGTAGAAAACTGTACTTTTCATGAGAAAGGCACGACATCGACAAAATTTGTTATTTAGGACTCAAGTTGTGTGAGTAAAAATTAAAACTAATATGATCTTGCAGGGAATTGAATACTGTTTCAGAAAAGGACAAAGTTCATTTAGTATATGAAAATTATTAATTAAGTCTAATCAACTCTTTTTCTAAAACAAATGAAAAACTCACGAATTTCTAATTGAAAAGTAGATCAAAAGATAATTTATCACATTCGATTCAAAAGAGCAATAAAAACACTTCTAGTTTCTATAATTACATAATTTCAAACTTAGTCTGCTATAGTGAAAAAATACTTTTGATGAGGACGATACATTTCAAGAGAGTAGAAGTTGCAAGAGTTTTTTGGGCAGCGTTTTGTATTTAGATTTCTTCTCACTCAGACTCAATTTTGTTTTCTATGTTCTTTGAAGTTCAGACTTTGCTCTTTCTAAAAGAAAAATAATTAAATCGCCAGCCCATCAGGAACATGTAGAAATAATGCTCGACATTTTTTCCATTTCTTTTGCATCGTACAATAATTCTAATTCTTGCATGAGGGTTAATAACTCATGCTGTTTTTTGTTATCAGTATCAGAATGTTTTTTTTTATATCTGACCAATCGCCTTTTTGAGTTGATTATTATGATCGAATGTACATATATATGTTGTGATTGATGCTCTAGTTTTTAGCCATAATTTGCATTGAATCTACTTGAATCAGTTTGTTTCTAACTATCCATGTGGAAATGTGCTCTCCACATATGGTATAATTTCAATTCATGTGAAATAAGTTTTTTGTTTACTGCTTTTCGGTACAACATAACGATCATGTCAATAGTGGAGAACAATGAAAGAGAGAAAGCTTTTTTTTACTGACTCATCAGGTTTGAAATTTTGCAGGAGATTCATTCTTTGCTTACGATGCGCGTAGCTTTAAAAAAAACACACATATAGTATATATCTGTACTTGTGCGTCTTGTTTTGCTGTTTATGTTGCGTTCATTGTTTTCTGTTCTGATACTAATGTGGGACAGTGTTTCAACCTGTAATTCAGAAACATACAGATCTATCGGCAGATAAATCTGTTAAAATATACAGAAAGGCGGAAAAACACTCAGAAATAAATATGGCTTATAAAAGTATCGATAAAAGCTCTTCGCTCTTGAATTTTTTCAAAAATTCTGAAAGTTTTTGAACTTCCGCCTGAAAATTTAGATAGAAAATTACTTTTTAGACTCTCACCCGTGTATTATTCTATTTTGATAGTAAACGAGTGGTATGTCCTCAAAATCGGTGACATCTATTTCTTCTTTCAACAAAATGAGTTCATCTTCACCATTGCATTGTTTTTCAGAAATTTTATCAGTATGTTGATTGATTCCGTCTTTCTCATATTTCTCGTGCGTCGTGATAATCTGCATCCCGTTAATTATGTCATACGCGTTATCAGTACTAACCATTGAATTTTCTGTTTGTTGATTAACTGATTGTTCTTCTGCATTATCATCATCAAACTCTTCACTTTCATCATCCTGTTTCAAATTCGTTAGTATTTGCGCCTCTGATAAACAATTATTTATCATATTCTTTTGATCTATATTATAAATTGAAGTGGTTGTTACTGTTGAATTTGAAGTAGCACAATCTTTCGTATAATTTGTATTACGAAAATGTCTAACATTTTCGTTTATATCGTCATCATCTAGAGATCTACAATAGCCGATGATCTATATCAATTGTAAAACATTAAACTACTAGTGAACGTACTCGTGAAAGTCAACAGAATCATCGTCATCTTGCTCCATTTTTCTTACTGTTTTTTTCGTAACGTATTTAGTATCTCCGAATAATTTGCCTTCAGAAATACGAGTCTCTTTTAAAGCAGATGTCGTTCTAGGTATTGCAGGAGACATTCTACGTTCTACTTGTGAATTTTTATCATGTACAACAAAAACAAAATCACAATAACAGTTTCGATCAGCATCTTTTGCTGCAATGGGTAATAAGTCACCACTCCCTCTATAAATCACAACACAGCGTCCATGAATTAATTTAATTGTCTTCTTTAATGATTTTCGTTTACACTTAACAGTAGTACGACAATTTTTTGTATCAACTAGATATTCGGAATCTGATTCAGTTGTCGCTAAAGAAGGAGTATATCACAGATATGGATGGGACAAACCTGAGATTAAATAAACATCGTACTCGTATCGTCTGATTGATTCATTTAATTCACAGAAATTAATAATTGAATGATATCATTAAAGTCTCGCTAAAGAGCGATCAGATTTTCATGTGAATTTAGAATTCTCTAATGATCATATCATCTCACAAATATAAAAATATATACTCAGTTTTTATCTATAATATAATTCAATTTCGATTCTCTTTCTTCCCGAATGAATGAATTAAAAACAAAGATTAGGTTGAATAAAAAAAAAACTTTTATCAGTTTTTTACAAAATTCTAAAGACTTTACAAAAGTGTAGCCATAACGACTATCAATTATACAATCAGAACATTTTTCAGACATGGTGAATCAAATCTAAAAAAGGACTAATAAATTGGGTAAGCTGACGTGTTTTTCACACTATTTTCTACTATTGTTCAAAAATAAAGGCATTTAGAAACTTGATTTTTGTGCCATTATATGCAGCAAAACATTCCGCAGATGTGATAAAATAATCAACTAGCGAACGTTAGTTGTGTAGGTTTTATTTGAAAAATACTGAACACAACGCCGTGACGTTTTTCGACCCCTTAAACCACAGAACTTCTCTGCGTTACTGTGGTACTTTTAAAAAAACAATTAAATACTGTTTGTAGAGAACATCTTTCTTTTGATTAAAAAAAATAAATTCTCTCAGGAAAAAGTTCATTTTACTCTCGTAACGCTGTGACAAAGTTCTTTTTCAACATTTTCATTCGTTTCTGAAGTTTCATAGACAACTTAATTTGGACAGATCCCTAAGGGATCAAACAGACTTAACCTATATGAGTCAAAAATAGAATTAAAAAATGGTGTTAAGGCAAGCATCCAAAAATTCCTCAAAAGTCAGTAGATCGGTAAAACTTTGTTTGCTCTGCAAAATATTGTTCTAGAGGTCTAATGTTTAAGCAAATAGTGCATTTTGTAGAGAATTTAATTCTCCATCAAACGGCAAAGCTTTAAATATTTTAACAAAAGCTTAGTATGTCAAAAAATTGGAAATTAAAAGTTAAAAAGAATTAAAACTTAAATTTTTGCTTTGAAAATTCATTTTTCGTGAATTTTAAAGCCGATATTCGTGACCAGCGTGAAAAACTGCGTCTATCGATCTATTTTCGAGACTGAGTACAGAAAAAAAATTCTAAAAAGCTTCGTCGTTGAAGGCGACTATTATGCGTCCAAACCATACACTACTCTTTCGATCTGCTTAGTTTCAGAGATTGTTGCCTAGTTTCGCTTATTCTAGGACTCAACTCTGTAACCAAAACGGTTGTTGTCTTATGCTCTGTCTTCGTGTATAAAATGTCTATTTCCGTATTATATAATGACCCCAGATGATTATTTCCAGCATTTTACATCCATGTTTAGTAACTCGATTGGTCGTTTTTTATTGCGTCAGACAAAAGTTCTAGTAAAAAATGTCAGAGGTATTGTAAAGATCAATATAGTATTGGCAACGACCAAAAATATTAAGATCCATTGAACATATTCGAAGGAGGAGCCCTCTCCTCTTTAGAAAGACTTTTGGACGGAAATCGAAATCGAGCTATATGCATGGATAGATTGCCTCAAGCGTCCTAGAATCTGTATAGCTCTTTATGTATCACTTAAGAGATGAGCAAGTTCGGTATTTTTTAGTCCCAGACCACTAGGCTAATGCGGGAACGTTTTTAAGTACCTCCTCGCTTTTTTAACGAAACCTAGTGGGTTACAGGTTATCGATGATGCTGATTCCGAATATGAATATGAGAGCTGCCATTAGGGTTTTGAAGATCCGGTTTTCTGGAAAACCAGATTTTCAGAAACGCTGAAAAACAACCAAAGCTTTTCTTAATGAGCCATGCTTGTACCCCGCATATTTCTGATTAAAATGAGACGTCTCCCAAAAATTAAGACATGACAAAAATGTCTTAATTTTTGCCCCAAAACTAAAAGTATTCAGAATAAGTGTTTTTCTTGCGAGAAAACTATTTCAGGTATAAAGAGTCATTCATTCTAAGTCAAAAACAATCATTGTCGATGATGACAAAAAGCTTGATGCCCACTAGCTTACGAGGAAATATTCCCAGCTGTTCATGACCCGGTTTTCTGAAAAGCTGATTTTCCAGAAACTCTAAAAAAATCACTAAAACGTTTCTTAATAAGGCATGATTGTAGCCCGAAAATTTTTGATTAAAATGAGACCTCTCCCAGCTCTACACGACCTTTCTTTGCAAAGTTATACGATTTGCAAGAAAAGCCCTAAATTGATTTCGACTTATTTCTGTAGCTTTTGAGTTGACAATGAATATTTAGGGCTTTTCTTGTAAATTCTATAACTTTGCAAAGAAAGGTCGTGTAGAGCTGGGAGACGTCTCATTTTAATCAGAAATTTCCAGGCTACAATCATGCATTATTAAGAAACGTTTGAGTTACTTTTTTATAGTTTCTGGAAAACCGGGTCTTCAAGAGCCATGGGAATAAATCCTTTTAGGCATTTTACTATCTCGATATAGGCTATCGATTGATGTATGTTTGAAAGAAATCGGGGTTGGACAGCTGGGAATGTTCTCACGTTAATCCTCAGCGATTTTCTGACTATTTAGAAAATGTTAATTTTCTACTTGATAGAAAATCCGCTCGATTTTCTATGAATTGACTTTTCAAATTTGCCAGAAAATTTATAAGGAATTTCTAAAAAGTTCGAAAATCTACAGCGATTTTCTATAAATAAATCCCAACATTCTTGAAATTCGACAGCAATTTTCTAAATAGTTGGAAAATCGCATTCGATTTTCTAAGAAGACCAATCGGTCATTTTTTTCTTGCTTCTTTCACATCTATCAAAGTCTTCACTGCAACAAGTTATCCTGTAATAGATCTTGTTCCTATTAGTATTTAACATCGGAAGTGTTAGTAGATGTTAGTAGATTCGGAAAGTTCTCTCAGTTTTTGCAAATCAGCATATACTTGGAGAAGTATTATTGTTGTACGACACTTAGAGATCACAAAGAGGTGCTGAAACGGTTTTGGGGTTAGACCTGGTTAAGACAAAGTCGAGTTTCACCGCAACTTTCTGAAGATCGTAAAGCGATTCATTTCCACTAATATTCCTCATTTTTATGTCTGAATTTAGCATCGTCTGAAGATCGTAAAGCGATTCACTTCCACTAATATTCCTCATTTTTATGTCTGAATTTAGCATCATCCAAAAATGTAGTTGGTCCTATTAACTCAAAGACATGATCCTAACAATTCACATTTATTTTCTTTATTTTTTAAATAAAATAACAGCTGTTCAACACGTGATCGATTTCGAATTTGATTTTGATTATTAAAAGATTCTTATTGTCATTCAGTAAGCTGAAATAATGCACCCTACTCAGCTTCGACGTTTAATAGCTTTTAATAACGATGAAAAAGTTTATCCTCAGCCATTTTCACTTTGAAAGCTTCTGATTATCGGCATTGTCACTCAAATTGTTCTTCCTCATCATCTAGAAAATCCTTAGCTCTCTAGAAAGTAGAAAATCCAACTTTTCGATTTTCGAAAAGTCCATATATAAAATCGCTGAGGATTTTCTATAAATAATTCCCAACAATGTAGAAAATCGATGTCGATTTTTCTACATTATTGGAAATTCGATTTTCTATAATCTGGAAAACCGTGAGAATTTTCATACACGGCCTTTTTGAAAATCGCCGAACATTTTCTATAAATAATTCCCGACTTTATAGTGGATTAAGAAAAATGTACCTCACAAAATAGCCTCATTTTTGCACCTTGCGACATCGATAACTTATGAACAATTTCATATTTTGAGTCGAAAATTCCATCGTAATCTTTTTATACCATAGTGTCTCATTCATCAGAATTTCATGCAAATTGGTAGAACGATGTAGAAAGTTTAGGCAATATCGAAAATGAAACTTTAGTTTCTTCTTGATATTATATCCATTCTATCAACCATTTACTCCGCGTCTTTTATCTATCGCTCTGTCGCACATAGAATTTCTACTGGTGCTTTTACCACGGAACTCTGCTACGTACCAGTGGACACATTTAACTCACTGGTTAATTACACACTCAACCTTTTTATCCAGGTCAACCAACATTTGACTGTTATTCATCCGTCAATAGTGAAACTATCCATATATTTTGTAATTCTAAGCAGAGTCAGTTTCGGCTAAATTTGAACGAACAACGGTATATTACACTAACGACAGGGCCCCATCATATACAATCGTGCAATAAACTAATAGTTTCGTGTCTAGAATAGTACGCATTATTATTCTATAATTCCCACCAATTCACGATTTACTTTTAATATTCCCTTTTTTGAGCATAAATGAATTTAATATCAAAACTTGTATTATTTTCTAGTGCATGTCCCAAGCAGACAAACATTTGGAAAAAACGCGTTTAAACGCTCAAAAGGGAACCGCGATTGTGAGTCAGTAACGCTCATTAAAAAAACGCAAGAAACGCGTTTTTTGCGCAAAATTTTCACTTTCAGACCGTGAAAACGGCGAAAACTCC